AAGGTAGCATGTCGGTTCCAGGAGCAGCTAAACGCCGGGAACAGTTCTTTATACTACAAAATGAAGCGTAGTGAGACATTTAAACCTTCTAACAAAAGTCAATTTGAAAATCAAAGTTCCCACCCTAAATATGCCATTTATACAGCGTTTAATAAAAATTATGATTGGAGAGGTGTCCTGGAATAAACTGGGTTTTATCAAGGTCTCGTTGTACTCTTTATCGCAAGGGACATGTGGCATGGGGTGCCTAAAAACCAAATATGTGTCCTTTTTATACGGAGTCAAAAACTAATCATAAAACCGAGCAAGGAAGCGAGCCACGAGAGGCGATTGGATTTCCTTCTCCCGACAACAGTAAGCTGTTTATTATCCTCATTCCTCAACGTGGATTCTTCAACATTCTAAACGCGCGCAGTTGACGATAACCATAATATAAGCACAAGAAATTCATTAAGTCGAAGAGCGAGAATAGTACATTATAGAGGAAGAGAATAAAGGAGGGAAAGAAATAGTTTTCCCTCTACCCATCCTTAAAGGTAATTTTTACTGGTCAATGAAGTATCCACATGCTGTGTATAGAGAAACAGTTAAATATTTCAGTTTAATAATTATTGCAACTGAACACTTTGATATGGTTAGCCTGCGAATTAGAATGGCAACTTCGTCTTCGTTAAACATATGTTATATTCTGCGTTAAAAGAGTCGGTTACATTTCCGCGTGTCAAACATTTGTTATATCAATTTTGCCTTAAAAGATGTTACAATTCGGGTTACTCTACGTTTCATTCAAAAGTTATTACATTTCGCGTTTATATTACATTCTGCGTCAATTTTACATTTAACGGCGTAACAAACTTTTCTTTCGCCAGCGATAAAGAACTTACCGCTGCAAGAGGGTTGGTTAAGCTGTGCACAGGACGTTTTCCTTATTTTTTTTGGACAAATTTAACAAGCGCGGAGAGCGGTCTATTTTCTCACTTCCCCACCCCGACCACCTACCACCTACTCTAGAGGTAGATAAATTTCCCACGGGTCTGTGAACAGGCTAGAAGGAAGACTGAAGATATATCTTTATAATAAATGAAATTTACTCCATTTATTGCGAACCGCCTTAGTCGGAGTGTTTCAATTCTTTACTAACTTGTGGCTTACACTTGCCACATGTGGTACACTTGCTACACTTGCTACATGTCCCACATTAACTACGATTGCTACACGTGCTACCCAAGCTAAATGTGGTACACTTGCTACGCTTGTTACGCGTGCTATGCTTGCGACAGTTGCAGCGCTTGCTACACTTGCTACGTTTGCTACCCTTGCTACGCTTGCTACACTTGCTACACTTGCTACGCTTGCTACGGTTGCTACACTTGCTACACTTGTTACACTTACTACATTTACTACGCTTGCTACACTTGCGACACTTGCCACCTTCGCTACCCTTGCTACGCTTGCTACACTTGCTACACTTCCTACATTTACTACGATTGCTACATGAGCTACACTTGTTACGCTTGCCACGCTTCCTACAGTTGCTACGCTTGCTACACTTGATACGCTTGCTACAGTTGCTACAGTTGCTACGCTTGCTACGTTTGCTACCCTTGCTACACTTGCTACACTTGCTGCGTTTGCTACCCTTGCTACGCTTGCTACGCTTGCCACACCTGCTACGCTTGCTACGCTTGCTACACTTGCTACACTTGCTACACTTGCTACGCGTCCTACGCGTCCTACCTTTGCTACCCTTGCTACGCTTGCTACACTTGCTACACTTCCTACATTTACTACGATTGCTACATGAGCTACACTTGTTACGCTTGCCACGCTTGCTACGCTTGATACGCTTGCAACAGTTGCTACACTTGCTACGCTTGCTACGTTTGCTACCCTTGCTACACTCGCTACACTTGCTACGCTTCCTACCTTTGCTACCCTTGCTACGCTTGCCACACTTGCTACACTTCCTACGTTTACTACGACTGCTACATGAGCGACACTTGTTACGCTTGCCACGCTTCCTACAGTTGCTACGCTTGCTACACTTGCTACGTATGATACGTTTGCTACCCTTGCTACGCTTGCTACGCTTGCTACACTTCCTACATTTACTACGATTGCTACATGAGCTACACTTGTTACGCTTGCCACGCTTCCTACAGTTGCTACGCTTGCTACACTTGATACGCTTGCCACAGTTGCTACACTTGTTACACTTACTACATTTACTACGCTTGCTACACTTGCGACACTTGCTACCTTTGCTACCCTTGCTACGCTTGCTACACTTGCTACACTTCCTACATTTACTGCGATTGCTACATGAGCTACACTTGTTACGCTTCCTACAATTGCTACGCTTGCTACACTTGATACGCTTGCTACAGTTGCTACACTTGCTACGCTTGCTACGTTTGCTACCCTTGCTACACTTGCTACGCTTGCCACACTTGCTACACTTGCTACGCTTGCTACGCTTGCTACGCTTGCTACGCGTCCT